TGTCTACGACTGGGGGGCGATTACGAAGGGACACCTAGGTGACCTCGCGCAACCAGGGGGGCAGTGGAATGGCATCATTGGGAAACTCATCAACACCCATGACACTACCTCCCAGACCTGCACCTCCTTGGCTCCACTGTTTTCTATCCAAGGCATGCTGATCAAGGTCTTCATTCCCAAGTACTGCAAACAGGGCAAGGGCAAATCCCTCCTCCAATTCCTCTACGTGATTCAGTGCATACCAGCGGTCAAGAAACCTCCACCTGCTCAGCCTGAAGAATCAGCCACACAGGATGCCGACACTCCAGACTCTCTATTGCCACCTTCCGTGTCTTCTCCTCCTCCAGAACCGACACCAACCAACCCAAGTGTAACTGTCCCCACCAAAGCTCAGCCAACTCTACCCGCCCCATCCACCAAGCGTTCCAGTCGCAAGGGGTCTAAGAATCGCCGGGCCAAGCACCCTCTTGAGAAACCTACGGAGACGCCTCAGGCTACTCCCCCCACCCCTCTTCCACGGCCCACTCCTGCACTGAAGTCTACACCCCAGTCAGCAACCAACCCTCCTACGGCGTCTTCCGCTCGGGCGAAACTTTCTGCATCTGAGCAGCCACTGGTCACTGAGGCATTTGATCGCAGCGCATGGCTGGTGGCAATGGATGCGGAACTGAACCAGGGCCCAGCCGGTCTCTATTGTTGTGAAAGTGTTGTTCAGTTGATTACAAATTTAGATTTCAGAGAGTTTGTTCTGAGCGCTAAAGGCACTCACAATAGAGCACATTTTGCTTTATTCTAACACTTCTCCTCTTAGTCTGAACAGGTCACCGATATTTAAAACTCCTGCAAACGCTGCGATTCCATCCCTCTCAATTTGGTTTTCATGGGCCCAGCCGGTCTCTTCCAAATGATCCCACCAGGCACAATCGATGGCTTCTATGTGTTTGTGGTGCGCCAAAAGTTTGCCTCATTGGCACAGGAAATTCTCAAGAACCTGGCGGCCTTCCTTATTTCTCACCTTGAGTTATGGCAGGACCTGAAGCATCAGAGGAAGACATGCCGCACCTGGCTCTGCTTGGACCACTATAATCGAACGGTTACCAACGCCTACTGACATAAGGAGAACATTACTGTTGGGATATGACAAAATATGAGTTTTTATGTTTCAAAAGAAACTATTCAAGTACGAGGTTTTCGACACGTGCAATCGGACTTTGATTGTGCGCAATGTCGGGATTCGACGCAAGTATGCCGGACGCAAGTCTGTCGGACAATCTGTATCCACACAAACAGGAAAAGATCCTGTACAAGTGGAATATTGATGTTGTGTAGTTGCAGTAGGGAATAATGCAAGATATCCCAAAGTACTGCATTCAACACAGAATTGTCGTAGAAGTTGAATCGAGTTCTGTAAACAAGGGATTTTCCAAGGGAAAATCGTCAAACTCACTTTTGTGATTGAATCATCAATTCAAGCCAAACATTAATCAAATAGGAACAATTTCACTCAAAGTATACCTAGACA